AGGGCTGTGCCATGTAGCGGTGCCCGCCCCAGTCCCGGGGGGTGGGGGGATGGGGGGGGAGGAAGGAAGGAGCAGATGCAGGGCACTGATGCAGCAACACGCTGGTCTGCATTGGACTGCAGAACACGGATCAGCATCTCCATGTGAGCCCACCTAGGCCCACCAAGTAGCCTCTGCTGCCCCTCCTACAAGGTGCTAGGGAGCCCTCCAGTGGGTCGTCTCCTTGCCACTTCCTGCCACCTGCAAACTCCTATTCATCCTTCAAAACTCAGCTCAGCAACCACCTCTTCGGGGACACTCACCTGCTCTCTGTCCTGGCCCTGAGCTGCCACCCTGTCGCCTCCCTCCCTACTGCTTCCTGAAGCCCTTCGGCCAAGCTCCACTTACGAGGTCCACACACACCTAGAGGGACCCCGAGGCCACTGGACCAGTCCTGAGTGCTCTCACACTGGGATGTGCCCACCTCAGAGAATGGAGACCACTCGCTCACAGGGGACTAGACCAGCAGCAGCCCCACAAGGACTCAGACCCTGGCTTCCTGTTCTTCAGTCTGGCAAGACTCACAGTCAGTGGGCAGATCTGGGACAAGGAGAGCAGACTGGTTTTAGAAGTGTTGACTTTTCTGTATTTTCCCAGAGGTTTTTACAACAAACTACTAGTACCTCAGCTGGAATAAAGCAATCTGTGGCATCCCCTAAGTCAGGACTCAACTGGGGTACCCCTGCCACCAGAGACGGGGACCCCAGAGGAGGTTCAGTCCTTGTGCATGTGACAAGCCACCCGCCAAGTGCCTGCTTCAGACACCCACCGCAGCTCTCCTACATTCTCCTTTCCAAAATCAACAACAATAGGAACCGCCCACAGTGACACGGGGCTCCTCCCCTGGGAGGCAACTCAGCTCCTCCCTGCCTGGAGCCTTCCCCAGGGTCCAGGCTTCCAGGGGACTGGGCTACCCCTGACCAGTGCTTCTTAACAGGGGTAGAGTCTGCAGGGGGTGCATAATTCGTGGTTGTTACAACTGGGGAGGGGGTGCTACTGACATCGACTGGGTGAAGACCAGATAAGCTGCTCGACAGTGAACAGTGCACAGAAAGAAGCCATCCAATCCCACCAGCTTAAAGCGCCGTCCAGATCTGACGCCAGGGGCTGATTCCCAAAAGCCTGCCAGGCCTTCCTTCCGAGGGTGAACTTGAACCGCACCAAGCCCTAGTAGAAACCACAACTCTGGACACACAGACAACACTCAGAATGAGGTTTTTGGTCTCAGTCTCCGGAAAGCATAGCCCCTGGCCATGGAAAGGTGCCCCATGGACCCCAATTGTACGGTGCCCATCAGAGGAGGTAGCTGAGAATCGTGAGTAATCCCCCACAGTCTGGACACTGGTCCTTTTGGGTCCCTGTGACTCCACCCACCTTTTTCCTAGGGTGCAAGGGGAGGAGGTACATGGAATCCCCTTGGCAGGAGGTGCCTCTTCCACAAACTCCCGTCTTCAGCCCCACAGGTCCCATTCTGCATCCGGTGTCTTCTGTGTAATGGAGCTCAGGCTGGGGCAGCTCTGAGCCCCCGCCCTGCCTACCACCCACCTCCAAGGACTGACTCAGTCTCTTCCCACCCCCTCAGCCCCAGTTCAGCCTTTGCTCCAAAGGACGCCACCCTGACCATCCTGGAATCCCCTGGAGAAGACAAAAAGAACCTACGTTTCTTCATCACAAAGGAGGTCACAGGTGCTTGGCAAAGAGCAGGAGCTGGCAAGGTAAGTGACAAGAGAAGCAAAGTGACCGGTGTAGGGACACTGGGCTTCTAAGAGCCTGTAGCACGTGCTCCTGGCCCGGGAGCTTTGCAGCCCCTCCTCAGACAGCCCGATGAATATGGCCAGGAGGAGGAAAAGGAGCAGCCAAGAGCTCCCCAGCAGGAAGAAAGATGAGCTGGGTGACACTGTGGTTTAGGCGCTGGGCTGCTAACCTCAAGGCTGGCAGTTCAAACAGATGAGGCCATCTGCTCCCAAAAGGTTCCGTCTTGGGAACTGTGGGGCGCAGTTCTACCATGTCCTATATGGTTGTTACAAATGGCTCGATGACACGGGAGTGGGGGGTGGGGTGGGGTTTGGTTTCTGAGCAGAGAAGGAGGCACAAGTGGTCTGCAACTGGCTAACCTAAAAGCTTATGGTTCAAACCCACCCAGCAGCACCACAGAAGAAAGGCTTGGCCACCTGCATGTACAATGATCATAGTGAAGACAACACTACAGGAGACGGCTCTGTTCTGCAGCACAGAAGCCATCAGGAGCCAAAATGGTTTCTAAAACAGGGCAGAGAACCCCACTACCTAAAGGTACCAAGCAGCCTGCCCCCAGTCTCCCCATCAAGATGGGGAGGGCGGCATAGTACTGATCAGCCCACCCTGAAACCCACCAGGGGCAGAGAGCAGGTGGACCGCTTGGTAAACTGGCAAACCGGGTAGTCTCACGACTTTCTGTGTCAGCAAACAGACACCCAGAAATGACGCTCTGGGGAAATTTGCCAGCCATTTGTCATGTACAAGGGGGCTGCAAAAAGCTCATGGAAAAATGGAATTATAAGGTAATAACGGGATTTTCAAACAACTTTGAAGCCCCCTCTTTCAAAGAATCAAAATACTATCTTGAGGTTCATGTGCAGATAAGCACTGAACTTCTAAATTCAAGATCGGCAATTCAAACTCACCAACTACTCCTCAGAAACCCTATGCAGGGTTGTTATGAGTTGGAACCAACTCAACAACATACAATAACAACTACGACTTTGGGGGGGAAGGGTCCCACAGCCCGAGGAGAGAGGTCAGCACTGCCGAGTTCAGATCTGGCAGCCAGCCACACTGGGCTCCGAGAAAGCCAGAAAGGCAGGGCATCTAGGGAGGAGTCCTCTCACTGAGCTTCACAAAGGCCGAGAAGCAGCAGCAAGCCACGGCTGACTGCCCCAACCTCCAGGGCACTACTTCTGGGCTGGTCCCTTGCAATGGCCACTCAGAACTCACAGACCACACTGGCAATTGTGGGTTTCTCAGGGCAGTAACAAGGGTACTTCCATGCAGGACTGCTCTCTCAGCTCCTCCGGGGCCTGCTGGGACCTGGTCTCTGCTTAGTCTGGGCAGGTGGACAAAGCTCTGTGGCTGCACTGTGAGTGTTCAGATGCACGCCACTCCACCCAGAAGCCTCCTGCCCATGGCCAGCTCTCTCCTTTCATGGGCTCCCGGTTCTAGGGCGCAGCTTCGCGCTGCCATCACAGCTCTTGTCTCCTAGGGTTAGGAGGTTCTCGGCGGCACTAGGACCCGCAAGTCACTCTGCACCCCAATCTCTTCTTTCTTTCCTCTGCCCTCAGACTGGCTCTTTTTAAGCCTAGCAGGATGGCAAAACGGACCATTCCACCTATTTGGGTAGCACGGTGGCACTGTACAAAAAGCATGGGACTGCTAACCTCAAGGTAGGAGGTTCAAGGCCACCAGCTGCTCTGCAGGAAAAAAGGCGAGGCTTTCTACTCCTGTAAAGATGTAGAGCCTTGGAAACGCTATTCGGAGTCATTATGAGCTGGCACCAACTGAAAGGCACACACACAACCCTCACTAGGGGTTCTGTGTACTCTATGTGTTTGCAAGTTGTCCGATGTCCTTGCTGGGCCACCAACACCTCATCAGCTTAGTCCCACACAATCATTTTGTAGGTGTTGCAAAACCTGTGACACTGGACAGTTCCTCCTAAATACTTCACTGCTGGCCAAGAGCCGGGAGACCGGTACCAATGAATGGGCAGACAAACCCAGAGACAGCAGCTTAACAAAACAAAAAGGAAGCCATCCCCCAGCCCCAACCACTCCCTTCTCCAACCCGACCTTACACCATACGTGGGCACCTCTGCTTCCCTCCTCCCAGGGCCCAGCTCTGAATCCCCACACCTGGCACCGCAGCGATGCTGGAGGCCAGCTGTGGAAGGAAACCAGGAGCTGCTGGCTGCCAACAGGTGGCCCCAGGTGCCAATTGTTCTAGCCAATTTATGCAGAAAGTAAAGCAAGTTCCACCTTTTATTTTTTTATTTCCCCACCAAAATGAGAAAACAGACCTGTTATTTAAACTAAGCGAGAGGAGAACCCTTCGGAGCTGAGCATCATTGTTTAAGTGAAGCTGAGGCTAAGTGAGGAAAGCTGCGGATGAGGAAGGAGGTGAGAGGTAAGCCTGCGCTCCAGCGCTCCCCCTGGCTGCCTGAAGTTCACTCCTAGCCCGCTCGCCAGGCCTTTCCTTAGCCCTTCTCTGATCCTCCTCGCCCTCCAGCTCTGAACGTCTCCTCTAAACCAATGATACTGCCCAAGCCGGGCCGCCCTCACCCCACTCGGCCGGGACACTGGGCACCACCACCCCCCCTTTATCAGGGTTTTGAAAGCCTCCCAGTTGGGTCGTTCCTGGGTGCACCTAAGACCGGCGCTGTAGGATCAGCCCTGGATTGCGAGCCACAAGGCCGACGGTTCAAACCCATCAGTCGCTCCTCGGAAACCCTATAGAGAGGCGCTCTAAGTCGGAACCGACTCCACGGCGTTTTCACAACCAGCCCCTCTAGACTTGAGCAGGGGGAGACGGCGTTAAACAACCACAGAGGAGGAAAGTCGCGAGAAACCAACAAGGGCTGCCGGTCACCAGAACGCGAGGCTGGGGAGCAGCTGGACCGGGGCGTCCCCCGAGGGGCAGCGCGGACTGCCGACCCCGCTCACTTCCCACGACTCGCCTTTGTGTCGGATCCTCGCGACGTCGCCCCACCCTCTCGACAGCCCTCCCTTTGTTTACATTCTACACTCCCGGACGCCGAGGTTCGCAGGCACCGACCGGCTCCCGGGGCGCTGGGAGCGGGCCCGTTATCGAGAAAACAACTGGGAGGGGGCTAGGCTGGGCAAAGGCAGCCGGAGTGGCCACGCCAGTGGACTCCAGAGCTGAGCTAAGGAACAGAGCCGGGGGCGGACGAGCCAGCGGGCATTTATTACCTGCAGAGGGAGGCGCCGCTCCGCCGCCTCCGGGCGCGCCAGGGACCCGGGCCCCGCGGTGCCGGAAGTGGCAGTAGGGTCGCCGGCAGGGACCCCCGGGCGAGCCGGTCAAATAGGGGCAGTCGATGGCCCGGAAGAAGCCAGTGGAGCGTAGCATGGTCCGTCCAGCGGCGGGGCCCCAGCCCGGAGCCGCCCGGGCCCCCCGGGCCGCTCACTGGCGCCGCGGTCGCCGCCGCCCGCGCCTCACGGACCCCGCCACCGCCATCTTGCTCCGAGGCCCCAGGAGGCCCCCGGGACGCCGCCGCAAGGGACTCCGGGAGGAGTTGTCCGCAGCACGCCTGATCAGAAACGTTTGCTCCCGCGGGACCGAGGCAGGCCCAAAACCCATAGGCCAAGACAACCGGCCGTGGGAGAAGATATAGAGGGCAGGGGATACCCTGTCTGCTGACTCTGGAAGCCTCTCCGGCGCCACCGCCAGGCCCACCGCGGCAGCAACAGCGTCATCTTGAGCCTCAGGCCCTAGCTGCGATGAGGCTGTCCACAGCACGCCTGACCAAAAAGCCCCTTAGGCCCCGGCTATGTTATTTGCATTAATTTGCATATAACCTTAAAGCGCCCTCTATCGGACAGTGTAGGTTTTTTTACCTGTTGTTAAATGCCCTAGAGTGGGTTCCGACCCTTAGCGACCCTCTAAAGGATCAGAAGGATGTTTACCTGTGTTTTATTGACTACGCAAAGGCTTTCGATTGTGTGGATCATGACAAGCTATGGACAACATTGAGAAGTATGAGTATTCCAGAACACTTCATTGTACTTCTAAGAAATCTGTACCTGGACCAAGAAGCAGTTGTTCGAACAGAACATGGGAACACTGAATGTTTTAAAATTGGGAAAGGTGTGAGACAGGGTTGTATTCTTTC